TATGTATGTATGTATGTATGTATGTATGTATGTATATAGATATAGATATATATTAATTTTTTATTATCCATCATCTTTTAATTTACTATTAAACTCAGTTTGAAGTAACATGAGCAAATTCCAAGTAAGCAATTGAACTAAATTAGGGTTTCAAATCGAGTATGATCCAGCTCACCAGACCTTTGAACTCAATCCACAAATACATGATTAGAATTCGATAAACAATGTATATTTAGTCAGATGATAGATACATGAGAAAGTTTAACTCGATTTTATAAATTTATTCTTTTTTGGAACTTCTCAACATGAGATTTCTCACCTCACACTATTGTATTAATCCTTTCTATAGCACATCCTCAAAATTATATGTTTATTTGAGCAATTACTAGGTGTGGACAAAGTACAACCCAAAATTGGCAATTGCCCATCCTAATATTTTTCACTAAATAATATTAATTTGAATCACCACATTGTGAGATATGTAATAACCAAGAAAATTCAACACTAACCAACCCTAGACAACAAGAAATTACTAGGAACCTGAAACTTTTTGATACTGCATCATACCTGCATTCAATAAAACTCCCCTTTTTTGTGGGTGTGAATAACACAATCTGTCTTAGGATATGCGATGCAAGTTAGAACATAACCATTCTCCATTTGGCTTTCATCAAGAAAAAAGCCATCGAACTGCTCGATGGAGCCGGAGTCCAAGAGGCCAGCACATGTGGAGCAGGCTCTAGCTCTGCAAAAGTATGACAACTCAATTCCAGAACTCTCAATTGAGTCTAGAAAATAAGCATCGCCAGGGGCTTCAAACTTACTTTCCTTGCCATCTGGCCATATCAGTTTCACCTTGTAGACTACCATTGCAGCAACCTTGAAACAATTGGATTTTTCAAGCCCAAAGGCTTTTAAGTTGGCCCTTGTAAATCCAAGGGAAGATGGACCGGACTTCACTAACATGGAGAAACATGCTTGAGTTGGACATCTTATGCTGTTGTGAAAGGTGTACGATGTAGAATGGGTAATAATCGACATTCTGAGTACCTAAGAAGAAATCATAGAGAAATTCTAATGAAATAATAAAAAAAGAAGAAAAATTAAAAATGTATAAATATATAGATATATATGACTATATAGCATTTCTCCTAATTTAATATTATATTTGACTTTTCACATTGTTTTAAAACTTTTTCTAAATGATTTAAACAAGATCCAAATGAAGTTTCAAACACTGAAAAGTCGTCCATTAAATCTTCTATTCCTTTTTCAATTAAATCGCAAAATATATACATCATACATCTTTGAAATGTTGCAGGTGCATTACATAAACCAAAGGATATTCGTATTGAAGAAAAACTACCATAAGGACTAGTAAATGTTGTCTTTTCTTGATCCTCAAGAGTAATAGAAATTTGATGATAACCAGTATATCCATCGAACAAGAAAAAATATTTGTTCCCAACTAGTCTATCCAACATTTAGTTCAGAAAAGGTAAAGGAAAGTGATCAATCCTAGTGACAGAATTTAATTTTCTATAGTCAATATAGATTTGCCAACCAATGACTTGTCGTTTTGGTATTAATTTTTCTTTCTCATTGACAGCAACAGTCACACCTCCTTTCCTTGGAACACAGTGAATTGGACTTACCTAAGCACTATTCGAGATAGGATATATAATTCTGGCATCTAACCAGTTTAAAATTTCTTTCTTAACCACTTCTTTCATTATAACATTTAATCTCCTTTGAGAATCAGACTTTGGTTCATGATCATCTTCTAATAAAATTCTTTGCATACAAATTGAAGGACTGATTCCTTTGATATAAGCTAATATTCATCGAAAGACTTTCATATATTTTCTTAAAATCCCTAATAATTTATGTTCCTGTAATTCAGTTAACTCTGAGGATACTATAACAAGTAATGTAGATAATTCTCCTAAAAAAACATATTTTAAGTATGTAGGGAGTAATTTCATATCAAGTTTAGGAGGTGTTTCAATTAAAGTAATAATTTTTTTATTATTTTTTGCAGTTCCTAGCAATTTAAATCTTTTCTGAACATAATTTATATCTTCATTACATATTTCGATGAACTTATGTTGTATTTAATCCTTATCGTCATGTTTTAAATCTTCTTGTTCCATTTTCTCTTCAAAACTTTTCATAAAATGATCATTACTCAAATAATCATAAATTTCCATCGTGAAGCATTCGTCATCTTTCCATTTTACTGGGTATTTCATGGATTTTGATATTTTAATTGTAACTTCTTAATCATTGGCTCTCATGGTTAAGTCACCTTTTTAAACATCTATCATAGCTCTTCCAGTTGCAAGAAAAGGTCCCTAAAATGATTGAAATTTCATCTTCCTCAATATCTAACACAATGAAGTCCATAGGAAAGATAAATTTATCAACCTTTACTAATACATCTTCTACAACGTCTTTGGGATAGATGATCGATCGATCAGTTAACTGGAGGGTTACTGTAGTAGGGGAAATCTCTCCTAATCTTAATTTTCTGAAAATAGATAGAGACATAAGATTAATAATGGCTCACAAATCACATAAAGCTTTTCCAAAAAATCTTTCGCCTATAGCAAAAGGAATAGTAAAACTACCAGGATCTTTAAGTTTTTGAGGAAGCTTTTTCTGAATTATAGCGCTTCACTCTTCACTAAGTGCAACTGTCTCATTATATGTAAACTTCAATTTTCTATTAAGTATATCCTTCATAAACTTTACAAAGCTCGACATTTGTTCCAAGGCTTCAGCAAATAGAATGCTTATAGTTAGTTTCTTAAATATTTCAAAAAATTTTGAGAATTGGTTATCGAATTTTTGCTGTCTCAATCTTTGAGGAAATGAATGTGGTGGTTTTTATACAGTAATTTTCATTAGTTTAACAGGATATTTTAAATCATGATGAATATCTTCCTTAGATTTTTTAATTTCCACCCCTTTGTTCTCAACTTCAATCTCTTTTTGAACTTTTGTTTCCACTTCTTAGGATTATAGCTTTAATTTGTTCTTTATTCTAGTATTTAGGATTAATCTCAACATTACTATGAAGAGTTTCTTGAGGCCTATTGCTAAGTGCAGTGACAATATGTCCCAATTGATTCTCAATGTTCCTAATTGTCGTTCCCTAAATTCGTAATTGATTACCCATTTGTAATACCAATTCTTCCATAGACAATTTCTTCTCCTTGAATTGTGAATTGCTGTTAAAATCGAGAGGATAATAAGGTCTATAGTTAGTATTTCCTTGATTTTTAACATTTCTCAAAGGGTTTGCTTGATTGTTCCCCCATTATGGATTTACTCCATTAGAGCTATTATTATTCCAACTTAAATTAGGGTGATTTTTCCAACTAGGATTGTAATAATTAGAATAGGAATTATTAGGTCGATTATTTATTGAATTCAAAGTTTCATACGATGATTGAGAATCTATCATTTGTCCAAATGAATTTTTCTCAACCAGTGGTAGTGTTTGAAATATATTCATTCCAAATTGATCCAACTTCTTCGATATTGCAGCAATTTGAGAAGCCAAAATAGAAATTGCGTCAGAGTCATGAACACTGGCTGCTCTTTTTGAATTTGCCCTTTCAGAGGGTCATTGAAAATTGTTAGTAGTCATCTCTTCAATTAATGAATATGCTTCATCGAATGGTTTTGACATTAATAGAACTGGAGTTCTTTCGGTTCATAGTCCATGTCCTTCGACTCTATGAATTTCCTTATCTCAATTGATCAGAGTACGCCAACAATTGAGAAATGACAAAATCATAGAAATTTGAGGTAAAAAGGAGAGAGAGAGAGAGAGAGAGGTGCTGATAGGAAAATATTTTTTCATGAAGAATAAATTGAAGGGTTTGGGTGCGTTGACCGGAAAACTTCAACATTGAAGCCCTTCAATCACCGTAGGAGTATTAGAGGAGGAAAATGAGTCATAAAGGGTAGTGATGGAGGCATTCACTAGTAAAGTAAATATTTGAGAGCTTTTACACGTTAATTATATACATTATATATTTTAAAGATCTCTATATGTAAAAATCGGTTACATCATTTTTAAGATTATATATATATATATATATAGCTGGGCACCGTTTTCCTTTCATCCGAGGCAGAGCTTGATCATGGCCCCGCCGAAAGGTTCCAAGCAACCAAAATCTAGGGATGATACCCCTTGCACGGATCCAGCGGTCACGACGGTAAGCTTTCCAGCTTGCCTAAGCCTCATTCCTCCTTCGGCCGTTTCCATTTGTATTCGCGCGAAGCCGGGATCAAAGACTTCTGCCATCACCGGTATGCATTTTTCTCACCTCCAGGAGTCTCTTTACTTTTTCCTAACTTCATCGTCGCTCTTCTTCTTCCACAGATGTTAGTGAAGAAGCCGTTGGCGTGCAGATTGATGCGCCGGCGAGGGACGGCGAGGCCAACGCTGCTTTGATCGACTTCATAAGTTCGGTAAGCCTATACAACTATTTATTAGCGTTAGTGAAAGTATTTATTCTAAGGCCTGAATGAGATTTTAGCTTGTGATGCTGGTTGGTGGATGCAAAGAGTGGGTTCTATCCAATGGTTTGTAGCGTAGTAAGGTTTTACTTAATTCTAAGATAGTTTTGGACAAGCTTGAGAAAGAAGAAAAGTAATCTGCATTTTGTCTCCAGAATGCATATCCTTGAACAAATAGGGTTCTTCTAAATTTAATTTTTAAGGATATGCTTGATTTTGAGATCTTGAGTACTGTTTGAGTTAGTTACTAGTGAATGTATACTTAGTCCACATCCTTTATTCTTTTAATTATTAAAATTTTAAAAATAAAAAATTACCTTGAGAATGTTGGTCCATCAATGCTGCTTTTTAAAGGGATTGATTAATATAAACTTATTTCTCATCCATAAAGATCTACATGTTGAATGCTCTTTACCAATGTTCTAAACTTAGAGACTTCAGAAGCATCCAGATTAATGTTTTTTTTTTAAGCTCTCTTATAGCATCCAGATTAATGTTGAATCATGTTTTGAAAATTAGGATTGACCCCATTTCTAGTAAAGTTGAGGGGTTTGACTCCCTTTAAAAAATGTTGCAGGAGAGTAATGGAGGATGATATTACAAGATTAAGAATTAGTATTGGTAGAGCAGGGCGTGTTGTTTACTTATTTTTATTTAAATTACTGGTTAGTAAAGTGAAAACTTAAATTTAACAAGAGTTATAGCTAGGCAATATCCTTTGGCTATTTTAGGTTTAAGAGTATTTGAAGGGTAAGAAAAATCTTGTAAAATGGATTGAAATTCATTATCTTGGATATCAATTACTTTTATTGAATATAAAGCAAGAAAAATGACATTTATGAGTAGCATTAGTTCTTCTTGAAAATTTTCGTCAGCTGTAGTAAAGAGTATTAGGAGGAGAGAAGCAGTCACTAGTGAAAAAGGTTTTGTCAAATTAAGACTTTCGTTTTGAAATGTACAAAAGGTTCTTCATGCATTTCAATACATGCACCAAACATAATTTCAGATTACTAGTTTGATACAATGTCTACAAAGTATGCATTGCTAGAGTATTAGGATGAATGGTGTTAAACATAAGAATTGTGTGATATTCTTATAATCCTCTTAAAAAATTCGATAATTATGGAATTCATATTAAGTTTTGAGCTATTTTCAATTAAACCCTATTAAGTTTTCAAAAAATATTTGGTAATCATGTATGGAAAAATATTCTATGTTAATTTATAATTTATATAAATGTACTTCAAATAAGTTTACATAAACGATTATTAAATATCTTTCAAAAAATTATTAGGTTTACATGAAATTATCTCCGACCTAGACTCAAATTCAATGTCTGTTTATTTAATTAATTGATTATTTTAATATTCAATTTTGAATATAATTTAAAATGAATCATTAAAAAATTATTTAAAAACCAAAATAAATATAAACCAATTTCTAATTTTTGTTATTCTTATTTATTATTTAGTCTATCAATGTGCATCAACAGATGGAATATAAAGTTAACTTGAGGATCTCCTCGACTCAATTTTTTTATTCTATTATAATTATTGCATATTGTTATGCAGTAGATTTATTTATTCCTCGGGTCAAATTTTTTATTCTATTCTTCGTATTTCACATTTTCATAAAATTGACTCGAGGAACTCACGTTTTCTTAGTCTATTCTTATTTATTTATTAGTCTATGAATGAAGCACACTAAATCTACTGCATGAAAATGTGTAATACATAGAGTAAAATAAAAAAAATGGGCTTGAGGAAATGAAGGAAAAAAATAAATTAATGTAGATCTAACAACTACGGAGTGAAATTGATAGGGTAGTTGCAAGTGAGATCAACAAGAATTATACTTAAAAATTTCAAAAAATAGAAGGAATATAAAATTGAATGAATTAGGGCTGGAAATAATGGTTGAAAGAGATTCCATAATTTTTTTTCTTTACGGTCATCATTCTACTTGTAGTACATGCCATTTTATGTAGAAACACTAGAAGTGAATACTTTTTAATGGATCATCGTGCTACATTCTAGCACTTATCTCATCACTGTTGAAGTCGGTGCTTAAAAAATAATTTATTTTGAAGAACCACATCTTTTACTTAATGCATTATGTATTTCCTATATAAATTATCTCTATTAGTTGTTTGCAGTAAATAACTTGGATTATAATTAAATCCTGAATTACGGACTTAATAAGTTATTTAACATCTTAAGAATTATTTGCAATTTCTTCCCTAATGCATGAAATTATCATTGACGGTCAACACCTTTGATAGGGTTAAGCTTAGGAAGACAAATTAGAATACTATGAGATTGCATACATGGCTATAATTAATTGGTTTTAATGGTTTCTATGATACTATTTTTTGCATAAGATGCTTGTGTGCTATTTAGTTATTTCGCCAAAGCATAATGGCATGGAATCTATCACCACATATTATGAATCATAAGATGATAAATACTTCTATTCATTTGTAAAAGAAATTGTAAGTACAATATAATTTTTTTATGCTATGCTCATCATTTCAATAACATAGAAGAAAAAATAGGAAAGCCTTAAAGAATAAGGCAAGTATTGTGAAGTATTACTTTGAGCTTCCGTTTTGCTACATCTTAAATAATGCTTCAATAGGTGTATGAAATTTGCTCTAATTTTAACTTTTTTGACATTACAATAATCAATAGTTTAAAATTGTAGCAACATAAATCAAGGAGTCGTGCAAGTTAGGAAATAAGGTAACATTTAATACATAGAAATGTTGTCAAGATTCCCCTTTAACACACTCTATTACAATAATCATGTTGAATAGATATTCACATCTGTATGATGTCCATTGCATTTTCATTTTCGAACAATTATACTTCAAAAAAATTTTACATACATGAGAATATTTTAAGAGTTGCGTTAAAGCCTGTAATGATGATTTTATTTTCATATTGGTTAGTCCATGTGATAAGGTGTTGGGTATGTTTGCATATTAATAAAGTGACTTGTTTTTGGATGTTGGCCAAAGGTTAGCTTTCTTGATTGGGCCAACCATGGTTTGCTAACCTTCTTAAGGGTGCTAGGTATGAGACCTAAGCCTTGATGGAGTGAACTAGCAAGATGAATTTTGTTTTCGAACACCATTAAGTATGAACAACGCAAAATTTGAAAAATTTTAAACTCCTAGTTTAGGGTTTTATTGTGAAGCAATTAGTGATCCTAAGGCCTTCAAACTCTTGAAGATATTAATTCAAAGGGTTTGGGAATGTTCTGAAGAATATCAAGTCTTTGGAATGATTTATTAATAGTATTATCATTATTATTATTATTATTGTGATTTCTTTTCAAGACTACGTTAGTGAGCTTCTTTAGCCCACAACACTAACTTTGAAAATTGCCTATTGGGGAAAGGATTTAGGCTTTGGGAATGAGACATCATTGGTTAACGTTTTTAGTTTTGATTTGAAAAGTTTTACTCAATTCCATATAGTTTTGGCCTACCTATTTATTACTACAACATGACTGGGCCATTCTGTTGGAAACCCTGAGCTGACTCCTTCTACTTGATTATGAGTGAATTTTCATCGACTAAAAATACAGTAAAATACTTATTAGATGGAGTGATAGTGTAGAAGAGGACTACAAAAAACAATAGTGTTTTCCTGTTGAAAAGCAAAATAAATTATAATACTCAATTTTAGCTAAATTGATAAATATTACATAATTTTAAAATATACTTCAAAATATTTTGCACATCCCAAAATGCATCCAAATTACTTTTATAAAACTCTACATTTTATATCGATCAAATTGATATATAATACTATATATATTATTAATATAATTGGTTTTATAAAGCTAAACCATTAATTTAATTAAATAAGCTTGAATGGCCTAAATATCCTAATTAAAACCACTGATAACAATCGGTTATGGTCGCAATCAGATTTTTCTACTTTACGGAACATGCATTAGCTTGATGAAAATAAAGTCTTAGGATTGATTAGGTAAATAACGTATTATATTAATATGAACATTAAATTCATACTAATCCTAATAAAATTAAACCAACATAATCTATCTTATTCACATTTTCCTCTTTCTCGTGGCTGGCTGAGACGGAAGTGAGGGCAAGCGGGGAGCGAGCTGTGAAGGGAGAGCTACTGCTCTCTATTTGGATGTTTGGAAGGGGGAAAAGGGAAAGCTAAGAGGAAGGTTGTGCGGTTGGTAAGATAAATATGCATATATGCACTAACCTAAGTTTTACATCTACTTATTCTCTCAATCTGTAAACTTCGAGAAATTTGTAAGAAGGGAACCTGAAATGTGAAATTGAGAGCAGGGCTACTCTCGGTTAGCAGCTAAGTAGGGGAAAAGTGTAGTATTGAGGAATATTCTAACTGATTTGAGGTAAGGAAAAAACTTAATATACTTGTACATATTCCTAGAATACAAACATAATTATTATAAGCATAAGGAATTTCTTTTAATTTCTTTTCTCTTTCACTGCAGCTGGATAAATCAGAAAAAAATTCTCTCATGTAGCAGCAGTGGAGGAAATTAGTGAAGAATTTGGAGGAAAAATTGGAGGAAGTTGTACTGGGTAGGGTATCAAGGAAGTGGAAGTGGTATGAATATAGGGAGAAAATGGAGTTTTGGAGGGTTGCAGCTGAGATTTTGAGAAGAATTTGGGAGATATGTAATGTGTTTCTCTTATGTATGAAATTTGCATGTTATTTACATTAACAACTTAATATAATTCTTAATTTCTCATAATTTACTGTAAAATTTCAGTTAATAGGAAAATAGGGTGTAATCATTACATTGGATGTTGGGATTAAAAAGACATAATATGAGAACGAAAACTATGACATGAATGCATGCAAGTAAATTTAAGGTAAAAAAAATTAGTCAATGGATATAGATTTGGATTAAATTAACATCCAATTAAAGAATTTCATAAATAAATTGTGAATTCTAGGTAGTGTACGTTAGACAGAGAGTTTTAAACGAGTAGGAAAACATATCATGGGTTTGGCTTGTCAACCCAAGTGAAATAATCACATTGGTATGAAATTATATTTAGAAATTTTTTGTTTATTGTCGAATACTTGTATATATTACATAAAAGCAAATTTGAGCTGACATTATTGATTTTATTGATGTTACTGCTTTTATTGAATTGGTGAGCATGTTCATTGAACCAATTGCTTGCAGATATACTAATTCAACTGCATATGCATTTGAATAATGATTTTTAACAGATAAAATGATCAAGTGAATGTGACAAGTGTTGTGATATGTAGACTTTTATATTGATGATCTCCACATATAAAGATGACAAAAAAATTATTAAAGTCCCGGCTCTTGATATTTAGACTGGAACGGATTTGTTGCTATCAGTGGGGGCTACCATAATTGTTTTATTGGGCGATTACCAACCTTTATTAACAGTTGTGTAGCCCATGGGCTCGGTGACTGCTCAATAAAATGAATTAAGTCAAAGCCTATCAAGTACAAATGATATTCCCAATACGACATATATTGAGTATGAAACAATTTGAAGACACGTTTGATTGTGTAAAATATGAATGAAATATATTTTTATTGTAGCTATATATTTTGTGTTGCTTATATACTCTTTTTTATATATATTTTCCATGTTATTAAAGCATACTTATTATGAACTACTGTCACTCACATTAGCCATATTGTAAACTTAGGGCTTGCTTGGTATTTCTTTTATTTTTAAAAAACATTTAGGTCTGTATTTTTTTGGTGCTTTTATTTTTGTTTTTGAAACTAATTTTATCTAGTTTAAAGGTATTGAAATAACTTTCAAGTGTTTTAGATCTTTTGATCTATTTTTTTCAAAATTAAAATATTCTGGTTGCCACTCATTATTGATCATGACCCAGGCTGCCAACTGGTAGTGGCCACCATCATCAGTCTCGCAACTGAATAGGCCAATTAAGCGAAGAACCAGACAACCTCATATTTCATAGTTTTTAAGCTCTTCTTGGGTTAGGATATCTTCATTTTTTTAATGTTTTGTTACTTATGTTTCTTTATTTGTATTTATACTAATTATACTATCGGACAGACTTCTAGTCTGCTTGCATGTCATCATTTTCATGTAGAAAAACTTTATAATTGAAGTTTATATTTCATTTATTTGTTAGTCTCTCATATGCTGTATATTCTCCTGTATTTATGTTCCATCAAGCATTAGATCTCATTTTCCTCGCACCACCAGGAAGATGCGTTTGTTGAGTTGCAATGATTTGATTCTGAAAACGAAGGTCGTTTTTTTATAACTCCTTTCTGTGCAGGTTTTAGGGGTAAAAAGAAAACAAGTGTCCATAAGTTCAGGTTCAAAATCAAGGGTGAAAGCCATACTTGTGCAAGAAGTAACTATCGAGAACGTCTTTGATGCTCTGAATAAGGCATGCAAAGGTCAATGATAAACACGCGGATTTGGGAGATTATCAGTAAGTTACAGCTGTATCTAGAAGCCACAATATTTTTATTTCTTCTTTTTGTTTTGTTGAATGAAATCATTCTCGGTTTCAGATATAGTAGGTCTAAAGCTGTACGCTTCTGGTGGTGTCTCAGATGTATTTAACATGTGAGTCATCTGTACGAAATCTTAGTTTGGCATTTGGACTGGAAGATAAAGAATAATAGTTGGGGCTTTACATTGGTATGAGATTGTCTTTATAAAATCTATCACGTCGCTTGGCTGCATAGTAACAAATTTGTAACCTTTATTACAAGCAAACCTTTCTAAGGGCTGAAACAAAGAAATACCACCAATAATTATGCCCAAAATTAGAAATTTATTCAATAATGGAAATTCTGCTTTATATGACTTTGGTCAAATATTTCTGTTATATATTTATAAGAAAATATGTGTTTAAAATTTTGTTTTAATGAATCTACTCTAAATGAAAGATAAAATTTTGCATTTACATATTTTTGAATGAAGGTGAAGCCCCTTGAATTTATTTATTTGAATTTGAATCGTGGGCTACTATCAAAATTGTGGACTACTATTACAATTAATGGGATTGCAATTGCTCCCTTCACGAACACTAGAGATTAACCTCTCATCATTAACTATTCTTCTCTATGCATTGCTGGTCCTGTTAATGCCTACTACGAACGAGCTCTCATCACAACTTTACCTGCTCTCATTGAGTTCTTATTTGTGTTGTTTATTCCCAGTAATTCGAATCTTGCAGTGAACTCTTCACTGATAGCTTTGCGTGATGTTTTCCCTTAGTAATGCGAGTTATTTTGAACCAAGTTTAAATCTGTTTGTAAAATTTTGAATCAGGTTCAACAAATGTTCGAACCAAGTTTAGATGACTTATGAGTCTTTACACCCAAAAATAGCTTGCACGATTTTCAAGATGCTCTGGCAGTCCAAGATTAAAAGCCAAGTATTCATAAAGCCGACTGGCTGAAAAATCGCAAGTCGACCAGCAACTAGCCATTTGAAAGGCTGACGACTGACCAAAGGGATACAAAAATAAACGATCTCCCCAATGGCAGAGTACCCCTAACAATCTCACAAGCCTTAAAGTCCGGCTCTCTCAACATTTATCCCGAATAACAAACAAGTCGACAGGCCACGCTGGGGCTGACTAGCTAGCACTTTTAAACCCGACCTGCTTTCCATGGTGAAGACCGACTCACATCCAAACAAGAAAGATGACCGACACCAACATGGTCGACCGACTCAAGGATTCACCAATCGGAAGGTCCACATACATTAAAAAGGACAAAATCAGTTACAAATATGAAAAGACATGATAAATAACAAAAATACCAAGTAACCCTTATTAAAGTAGGGCAGATAGTAATTTTCCACTTTGTAACCCCCTCTCTTCTATAAATAGGGATCCATGCATCTAAAAAGGGTTTTTTTGGCTCTTCTCTTTAAACCCATACTTTGTAAGGCAATCTCTCTCCTTTTTTCTTTTGTAACCCTTCAGTTACAAGATATAAAATGGGTCACAGAGCCCGAGAATACCTTAGTTCCCCCTTACAGAACTAGTCTGTGTGTGCTCTTTTATTTTTTTTTCTCTCTAATTCTCACTCTAGGTTCCTACCACTCTGATTCTTGACATGCTTCACAAGAGAGATTTGGATTTAACATTCTAGAATGTTGATGAGCTTTGAGCATGTTGTTAATAAGAAGGGAAACGACACCAATAAGAAGAAACACATCTAAAAGATTCTTTAACAAGAAGGATGATAAGGAGTTAATGCAACAGATCTGGATCATGAAATGTTGTTTATGCTGTCTTTTTGGAGGCTTTAGCTAGGAGGTGAACGCCTTAAAATAGATATTTGGTTCGCGATAGTCAAAACGAGTCGACTGACTACATTAGTAAACTGATTGGTTTGACTCTGTGACCGACACCTTAATCAATACAAGGAGTTTTTTTTTCTAAAACTTTTCTAATGTTATGATGAATTCATCTAATATCCTTCTAGGTCCACTGGACACTTGGTGAACTTGGATCCAAGAAACGACACCGACAACAACCACAAAGAGGTCTATTCGACATAATATTCCACAACACTCGCATAAAAAGCCTTGGTCTATGAGCTTGAATCAGATAAAACTATGGAGGTGCTTCCCTGCCCGGTAGGGACAAGCTTAGTGAAGGGTAAGGTGCAAATCACCACAACAGTGAGTTTCGGCAGTTACCCCTACGAAGGCATCAACAAGATTCACTTAAAACCTGACAAAATATGAGGTTTGACCAAAACGATGATCTAACAGATCTTAAAAAGTGTAAGTGTGAGCTAGCAACAAAAAGCAAAGGTGACCAACAACGACACTATAAAAGTCCAATCGACACCCTAACGACAAAACCGACCCAGAATGCCAAGCATAAAAGATTTTAGTCTCTAAGCCTAATGTCAATATAGCTTTGGAGGAGTTTTCCTCCCCAAGAATATGCCTTGACGGTTACCTCATGAAACCAGTGACAAGATTCGCCTAAATCTTGGTGAAAGGTGTGGGTCGACCAAGCAGAAATGTCCGACCGAAGCAAAATGAGACAAACAGTATAAGACTTGTGCTAGGCCCGCAACTAATAAAAAACGACCAACTATCTTTCATATGGTCAGAGTCAACAATCGAAAACATACACATTACCAAGCAATTACCACAGCGAAATGATAAATGGTAAAATATTTTAATGTTTAAAAATTACCAAATGGTCTCGTTTTCAATTTAGACTTAAAGAAATGTACAAAATTTTCATTTTTATAAAAGAGTATGTCTATATAAACCTTACAAAAAAGTTCTCCTGGGAAAAGATTATATCTAAGTATTAGGGAGCTGACTAGAAGGTTCTCTTTTTTCTTCTACGTCCGAGTCATCCCCAGATAACCCCTCATAACTGGTGTAGAAATCAGTGAGTTCTTTTAAGTCAACATACTTTAGATCAACCAAACGTGACCAAATGAACCAACCTATTCTTATGATGCTTCTGATCTGGAGTTTCTCTCATAAAATCTTCTCCTAACTTGGGTGGGATGGAAGCAGACTCAAAAAACTTCCTCTTACTTCATCATTGTGATTTTCACTTTTTGCTTGGGATTTTCTTGTTTAGTGATCGACGAAAGATCTGAGACAGTGGAGAGCTCCTTAGCCGTGTGTTACCTTCTAAAAGAGCTCTTAGGAGTGGTGGGCAACCCAGGACCTAAATACTGTTTTTCGGCCCTACACCTAGCCGATGTGGGACTTCTTGTCTGTGACATTCTCCTTCACCCAATCACGGGACGCCCTCGTCACGGATCGACTCCACCGAGGGTCCCAGTGGACCATGGATAGTCCACACACCTGACAGACAGTAATCTACTTTGATACCAAAAGAGCTCATAGGGGTTGTGGGCTGCCCAAGAATTAAATATTGTTTTTCGATCCTAAACCTATCTGATGTGGTATAGAATTTATGGACCAAGTAAGGGCGTTCCCAATACCATTTGCCAATAGCATGTGCATCATGGGAGGTGACAAGTGGTAACAGAGCAGATTACTGCCTGCCAGGTGTGGACTCTCCAAGGTCCAGTGGGATCCTCGGTGGAGCCGATCCGTGAATGTCACGGACAAATAGTCCCACATTGGCTAAGTCCCACATCGGCTAGGTGTAGGATCGAAAAGCAGTATTTAAGTCCTGGGTTGCCCACCACCCCTCAGAGCTCTTTTGGGAGGTGACACGTGGCTAGCTTTTTATCAGCCACCATGACCTACTTCTCATCCTTCTTTGTAAGCCTGACCAAAGTCCCGACCCTCTGTGCAACGGCGGCTCATTTTATATTGGCTCGTTCTACAACCATCAATTGAAGGTGGGAGGCCTCCCACTCCATCAGATGGTATCGATCAGCCTTCTTGTACATATTTGGTCGCTCGAGCTTCCGGAGAGACTTCGCAAACATGTGTGACCAGATAACCTCAAAAAAGTAGAAGGATAGATTTCGGTAGATGACAAATTACCATACTAATCCATTGACTGGTTAATGGCTATGAACCGGCCATATGAAGAGTTACATATCCTGGTAACCTGACCCTGAGAAGAAACTAGTTGGACAGGGAACCCTTCATATTCTTTCAGTAGGACAATGAGAGAGAGAGAGAGGGAGAGGGGGGGGGGGGGGGGGGGGGGGTACATTGCGCTCGTAGCGTTGCACTCCTTCAAGAGTTCTACCTCTAGATTGTTTCATATTCTGTCTATATAGGAGATGTAGGTCGACTGGTCTCACTATTACCGAATATATTGATAAAAGATGCATCTTGGTGGGGTACAACAAGCTATGCTCTTGCCTCTTTAGAAGATTCCCCATCATCAGCACCCTTCTCTGTGCAACCAGTTGCCCCTCCCTCAATTTCTCACCGACCGGAACTGTGGTGGTATTTTTTTATTGGGGACTCCATAGACCTTGAAAGATTTTTATCCAACTAATCAGATATGACATTCAAAGAATAGTATACTATCTCGAAAAATAAACATATTATTTTAGAATGGATCTAATCATTCAGATGAAGAACATCTATGGGATTTATTGATTTATGAAACCAAGATTTTTCTCTTACCTTACAGGTGTAAGATAATTTTTATTTTAATTATGGTTCTGGTATACCCTTAGATCTTTCTTATTCATTAACAAATGTTTATGCGATGATTGAATTAAGGACTTCGGTAAGAAGATAAGATTAGACACAGGTTGACTTTACTTAAGTTTCAAAAATTTTGACCCTTAGGTTTGAGCGCAACTTGAAAGTTGGAATGATATAGAGCTTGAATTAATTGATCAGGTTTGACAAACAAATTAGATTTAAGGTTGGTCTTGATTGGATTGGATTTGGAATTGAATTGAGTAATGACTGTTTGAGGTTGATTAAATTTAACAAGGTTAAGTTGATTTGATTGAGTTAAGTTTAATTTGATTAAGGTGAAATGATTTAAAGAATATCCTAGTCTAGAGGGTAGGAAAGGGTAAACAATTTTTATATGGAGGTGAAGCCCTAACTTAAATATCTCTATACAAAAAAACTATAGGTCGGCTAACCTAAAGTTAAGAGTAACACACTCGGTCAATTTGTCCGTAATTTTTCATCATCCTGGTTACATTGATAGCCTCAACTATTAACCATTATAATAATAGTTCTCTCTTATCGTCATG